TAGGCACAGTCTTCTCCTTGAACACAACGCCATACTGGTCCTCAAGCGTCTTCATCAACGGGCGGCAGATCTCCGGGCTCATAGGAGCCAGGATACCCTTCTCGCTCAGTGTACCATCAAGCACTTGCTGTACAGCGACCGCGCAAGGAACACCAACAAGCTTAGCCATGGCAGAGTAACCCTTAGGATCACCGTAATCAGCCAATGTGCAAGTCCGAACAGCCTTGCTGCCGTCCTTGTTCTCAATCTCGAACCTGTGCTGCAGCATGACCATGTCGCGCTCGTCGTTCTCGTACTGCATCTTCTTCTCGAGGGTAGCACAGAGGGTATCAAGCGGGTTACCGCGAGCCTCGATCTGCTCGTCGGAGATGAGGCCGATCCAGCGGAGACCAGTGATGATGCGGTCCTTCTCTTCTGTGCTGGCGAACTTTGTCCGCGAGGAAATGGCCCAGATGAGGTCCTCGTCCTTGTCGCTGCTGGCGCCAATGATCTTGGCGGTTGCGTCGCGCCAAGTGCGCTTCTCGCCTTCCTTGAGGAAGTCCTTGGGGTCTTCGGAGAGGAAGCCAATGTCGACGAGGCACTTGATGTATTCGGGGAAACCTTGGTAGCGCAGGGTACCGCGGATGATAGTCTGGCACTCGGGGATGTTGTAGCGCTCCTTGTAGGGTGTAGAGTCGCGGTTGGGGTATGCGACGAAGGCGTAGCCGGGGTAGATGAAGTAGGGCTTTGCTTCGGCCATGAGCTCAGGGCCCTCGACTGACTTGACCTTGCCATCTTGGTAGAACGCAGCCTGGTTCCTGAGCGCGAGGAGTACACCGCGGGACGACCAGGAGAACTTGTAGCCGAGCGGGTTGTCGGAGCACTCTGGTGCGGGGAGACCGCCGCAGTATGACTTGAAGGAGAGGATCTTGCCACCGGCCTTGTGGACCTCGTCGATGGTGAGGACGGCGGAGAGATGGTCGACACCGGGGTCGACACCGATCTCGTTCATGACGGTGATGCCGGCCTCCTTGGCTTGAGCGTCGAGCTCCATCATCGCGGGCGAGACGTACGAGGTTGTGACGACGTTCTTCTTCTTGCGGATCGCTGACTTGATGACCGTCGCGTGGTATGTGTAGGGGATGAGGGAGATGACAACGTCGACCTTGGCGACTTCGGCGTCGAGGGCGTCGGCATCGTTGACGTCGAGCTGGGAGTTGTTAGCAGGGAGCTATGCATGTGTGGATCATATGGTCGTACGCTGATGGCGTTGGTGTTGGGAATGCCCTTAGCCAGGTCCTGTGCCTTCTGGAGGGTACGGCATGCGACTGTGACCTTGACGCCAGACTTCGCGAGGACGTCAACAGTTGGGCGTGTACTGTAATTGTCAGTTTGTTGTAGATTGAGAGGGTTGATAGATCACTTACACGAAACCAGCACCGAGCAAAAGAGCGGTCCTATCACCAATTAGCCAAATTCCACCACAACAATCCCAAATGAGCACCTACTTTCCGCTGTATGCTCCAGCAGCCGCCCCGCTGACGTTGCCCATAAGGTTCTGTACTTTGTCTGCGTCGTCAATTAGACAAGTCTTCTTTCAATCGTAAACTCGACTTACTTGTGATGGCTTCCATGATGTGTGATTTGAATGTGATTGCCAAGATGTGAAAAAGTTTGGGGCGAGATTATATCTTTGGCGTTGACTCCGGATCGGAATAGAGAGAAATCGGCGGGGTTACTCCGTCATCGCTCCTGAAAGTGGGGCATGCGCGGCGCGTCACGTTGGGCTTTGGCAGACCGATGGATGTTCCGAACTCAACCACATCTTGAACATATCGCAAAGTAAGGCGAGTGTAATATGGTATCTAGATTGCTGGCCTTGCCGTGAATTTCTTTCACTGTTGCCTGGGCGCATTCTTTAGGAGTATATCGCGATGTACAGCGCGATAACGATCAACACGGTCAATTGCAAATTTCATCTTGCTAAGCAGCGTCCGGAATCTATATGAGCATTATGCACGATTATTGCAGTGCATCTGTCTTATGAGCCAGTTCTTCATCCCAATTCTACTTAGAGAAGATGGGACTGGATTGCAGAACATCTGGTCTGGGGCATCTCGAAAAGGGAAGTGGGTCAGCGAGCCGCGCCAAGTCAGCTAGGTCGTATTTCCACTAGCACGGTTTCCGCGGACTTGCCAGGTACGCGTTTCATATGCGACGACGACGAGCACCACCATCCACAACTTTGGACCAGAACTGAACATAGCAACTTTCACTGTGACCTACTATTCCGCTTCCAACAGACGTATTCTGCAAGCACACACAACAACCGAAACCAGGCGACCTCCATCATGCCTTCAGCCGTGGACCCCGATGATGACCTATGGGTGGCCATCAAACAAGTAGATAAACCCGTATAAGTGTGCGCATATTGTATGTACTAATAGAAACAGATCTCCCAGTCATCCGTGGGCTCAGATTACATCGACCAGCTGATACCCATCATGAAAGACGCACGCTACTCAAATCAACTGCAAATCACATTCGATCGCTATGCCAACGATCGCGAGAGTGAGATTGAGCGCATATGCAATGCAAATCATCAAGACTTCGTCAGCTCGGTCGACTCACTACTGAGGATACGCGACCAGACTGTGCAGATGAGTGGTGAGATTCTGCAGCTGAACGAGTCGATCCAAGAGAGTATCGAGAAGCTAGCCGAGCAGAAGAAGGCGCTGGTTGATTCGCGAGGCGTGCGCCAAAATATCGATGAAGCGTCGCAAGCGCTGAACGCGTGTCTGAACGTATTGCGCATTGCCAACTCGGTCCAGGATATGCTGAGGGAAAAGAACTACTACGCGGCATTAAGAGCGTTGGATGAGTTGCAAACGATCCATTTGAAGGAAATCAATCGATTCAAGATCGCGAATGTGATTGAGAAATCTATACCGCAAACCCAAGAGCAGATCAGAGAGGCAGTCAAGAACGACCTGAGCACGTGGCTTTACCGGATCCGCGAGTCGGCGCAGTTTTTGGGCGAGGTCTCGTTTTACTACACCGACGTACGGAGAACGCGCAATCAAGAACGCGCCGAAGCCGACACACGTTTCTCGAAGTTCAAACTGAACTCAGCAATCGAACTTGTGGCTGATGAAACCGACGAGTTCGATGTGCTGAACAATGAGGAGGCTGGAAACGAGACGGACTTCTCACCCTTGTTTGAAGCGATGCATATCAACGAGACGCTCGGCAAGAGCGAGCAGTTTAGAGCAGAGTACGCATCAGATCGGCGGACGCAGAAGGATTTGATCATACCGAACAAGCTGGATCTACTGGACGAGGAGTGTAGTGACTTGAGCAGCTTGCTGGAGAGTATCGCGGGTTATGCGATTATCGAGAAGGCTACCATGTCTAAAACACTCAACCTACGATCACAGGCTGATGTAGGTAACGTTCGCCCATTCCCGTGAAGCACTGCTAACAAGAGCATAGGTTGACGAGCTATGGGACTCGATGTGTCAAAGCGCGATCAACCTCATCACGAGCCAGCTTCATACCGTTGAGAACGATGAACTGCTCCTGAAGATCAAGGGTCGCATAGCGCTCTTCATGCTGACTATGGAGGTCCGTCACACACTCACAACTCCTCTATTCTCTACTGACTGCCATAGAAATGGGGCTACTCCGTCTCCGCAATGAACGACCTCCTCCTCACCCTCTTCTCCAAGTACTCCTCCCTTCTCAAAGCCCGCTTTAGCGAAGACTTCAGCGAGATTGTGCACACGGACGACTACATGCCCATGCCCATCAACTCGAGCGAAGAGTACGATAAGGTCGTCTCGGTATCCTGGTACAACCCTCCGGCATCCAACGAACCCCTCACCTTCCCCTGCGTATTACCCTTTTCGCAGATGTATCCGCTATGCTGCATCGATATCCGGAATTTCCTCAACCAGATCTACCTGTTCAGCGACGACTATTTTCAGAAGAGCAGTGTCATTGACGAAACACTGAGGCAGAGTCTGGATGAGCTATTGTGTGAGAAGGTCTGTGGAAGCTTGATCGAGAGGCTGAGTAGTCAGTATCCTGGGCAGATTGTGCAGATCTTGACCAACCTGGAACACTTCGAGAACGCCTGCGTTGAGCTGCAAGATCTCCTCTTCGAAGCGCGTTCGTCGCCCTCCGCAACAGGTCCTGTTGTTCTCGCAGCAACCGACCGTTTCGCCAAAGCCAAGAACACCGCCTCAAACCGCGTCTTCGAGCTGGTGAACAGCAAGATCGACGACCTGATTGAGACAGCAGAGTACGACTGGATGGCCACCAAGCCCGAGACAGAACCATCGACGTACATGTTAGAGCTGACTAGATATCTCTCCAACATCATGTCCTCGGTCCTTCTCGCCTTGCCCACCGAGATCAAAGAGTTCATCTACTTCGACGCTCTATCCCACGCGTCAACCGCCATCCTCGACCTCCCTCTCGCCCAGCACATCAAGCGCATTTCGCCCGCCGCCGTCGCAACTCTCGCCAACGACACCGCCTTCCTCAGCCAATTCGTCAGCTCCCTCAACAACCCCATCTTGATGGAGAACCTGGACGAGTTGACGCAGACAGTCGCGCTGATGGGCACAGATGACTCCCTGGAGTTCTTCGACATCGCGCAGAGGAACAAGAAGTACAGCAAGGTAGACCAGATGAAGGGCGCTATCCTGCTGGAGAAGGTGCAAGAAGGGGCGCAAGTCGCAGCGCAGAGCCCAACTGTAGGCGGCAAGGAGCGTTTTGGTACGCTAGGTTCGAGATTTGGTATTAGATAGAGCATAGCCTGTCAATCTTCATATACATTTCACATGACAAGAGCAACGCAATATATGAGCCAGGAGGCATTCAATACGTTCTATCCCTTCATTCCAACACGCCAGAACGCCGTGGAGATAGCCACGCCGGGCTATCTGGTATCATCCCATAGACTAATGTACATACGTATGCGGCAAACCACCCTCACACCCGACACAAACCTCTATCTACTCGTCATCCTCCTCCTCATCCCGAGCGACAACAACCCCCTCATCCCACTCCTCCCCCTCATCCAACACCATACTAAACTCCCCCGCCAAAGCCAATTCATCGCTCGCGCTCAAAACGCCTTGAACGTCGCCCGAAGCGATCTCTTCGTACACAGCCGTAATGCCGGTAATCCGGCACACGCGCGCAACACTCGCCATCATGACGAGCCCCAGCATAGCGAAAGGGCCGACAGCAACGAGCTGGCTGAACGTGCTTGAAGATAATCAGTAAAAAGTCCTTGGAGACAACTCGAAAAATGAAAGCAAAAACTTACTAATACCAGCCATGCACAACCCCCTTATCCCAAAACCTCAACCTGGCTTCCACCTTGCCCTCCCGCTCCTTGACCAGCCCCTTCTCCAGCTCCTGCAGCAGAAGCCCAATCTGCCGCCGGAAGCCGTGCAGGGATTTCCACCACGTGCAGCGTTGGTGCTGGTTTCGGTTTCGCGTGAAGATCTTGTTGAGGAGCGTGTGGATGTCGTGCAGCATTGCCATGTCGTGCGAGGGTGCGTTCAGCAGCGCTGTGGCTGTGATGGTGGGAGGGGGGGAGGGGGTTGTGGGGAGGGTTGGGTGGTGGGGGAGGGTGAATGTTGAGGTTGCCATTTTGGTGGTGGGGTTTGTAGATGAGTGGCTTAAGGTAGTGGAGATGAAGACGCGTTGATGGCTTTGTAGGCGTGTTGGGGTGGGTTTTGAGTCGCGTTGGCTGGATGTAGGTGCCCGGGTTGTGTGGACAGCCGCGGATATGGGGTGTGTGCGTGCGCGAGACTGGGTATTGTATGCGCGGGAGGATAATGGCTTTAATTCCCGAAGGCAAGTAGCAGAGCGCAGAAGTGTTGAGTCGCAGGTTGCGATGTGATCTGGCGGTACTACGGTGGTGTTGGGAGTAATCGCAAAGGCAATGCGAGTACTGTCGTTGGAGAGGAAAAAATTTGCGCGCCGACTTTTGAGAAAACTAGCTACTCTACGACCATGAGACTGAAAACAAAAAGTGACGGTGAAGATGAGAAGCGGTGACGCTGGTTTGCCCACGAGGTATAACTACCTAGGTAGGGGTCTATGCGGAAGGTCATAGGTCTTGGGGATTCGGCGCGATGTTCCTGACTGACCGCGATGTCAAATGACAAACGGCAAACGAGACAAGGCCTAGCTTAATCTAGGTAACACACACGTGCGCTGCTGTTGATGAAGTTGCAAAGGGTGCGAATGTGAAGTAGACGAACTTCATCTCAAGAAGTCCAAATGATCTTGACATGCTTGTAGCTTTCGTCAACGAGGGGGTCAGGGATGCGGTGTGGCGCGAGAGCTCTAAACACCAGGGACAATAGTTCTGCCAACCTTTGATCATGAAAATCGCGATGCTCGCTCTGGACGGCTCCTGAAGCTGTCCGAGGTACTCCTAAGATGCAGGCCTAAAACGTGTCTTGTGCAACGCAGTCGGAAGCAGCAAGCCTACGGGAGCGCAGAGTCTATGAATGCGGCGAGGCGGAGGATGGGCGGGTGATACGTTCCAAAGTAGTACAGCTTTTCAGCTAGATGCCTCAAGAAAGGAGAAGCTGAAGATGATGTGCGTGGTTTTCCGTTCTATTCTCAGGTATGATCTGTCGCGTGCCGTGGATTCGACGGGGAGTCTTTGATCGTGTGGTCGAGGTAGGCGGAGATGGCGGGAGCCATTCGAGGGGCTCGCCGAGTCCCACGATATCCAGATCGGCCCTGAAGACTTTTGCAGCTGTAGTATGTTCTGATCTCGAGTATCGAAGGAGTGCAGTCTTGCTGCAGTCTCCTCTGCCATGCTAAGCTTGCTGCATGTGGCTGCAAGCGTGCTTCGGGGATGCTGGTAGCCGTGCGGACCCCCTGGCTTGGTACGATATTGAGATTCTTTGTGGGGTAAGCTTCCAGCCTCCCTCCACGACGCCGCCTCAACCACACCACCACCACGATGATCCCCAACACCAAGCTGCGCTCGCTCAGATTTTCAGAGCTGGTAGAGGGAGCTCACATGACCAAGACAATGGGTCGATGAAGCTTCGCCGACCGCTGTGGTGATCGGGGTGAGCTCCTGCGACTCAATTCTCCCAAGCAGCCACCCGCGCCGCCTCACACCACCCCGCTCGGATCATGACAAAGGTAGTAACAAGACGGCTATACTCCTGATGACCTCCGCGAGAGCTTCATGCCCCATGCAGGTCTCTGTCGTGGGTGTTCTCACCGATAGCTTCGCTGGCGATTCGAGGCGGACTCCCGACGCAGTCTCTGACTCTGCTAACAAGCTACCACCACGGTGGGGGCGGCAGCAAGGTCTCTAGCAAGCCTTGCAGCTTCATCAGGCACTTGTACATAGTACAGTGGCTCCTGTCGTTGACTCGGTCTGCTGCAGGTTCGCCAGCGCATTGACGCTGACACCCAAGACAAACTCAACCCACAGCCCCTCTGGCCACCGTCGACCGCAACGGAGACGACAAAGAGCATTGATCCATCAGCTGGGCTGGCTTCGGCGAGCCGCGTACTCTCCATCAATACCATGCCAGGCCTGGCCGCGGCGGCGCTGCCGGCGCATCGAAGCGGACCCCCGAAGCAATCACATCTAGCCCCTCAACACCAACGACGAGACATTCGAACAAGGCAATACCCACACACAAGGATACTTTGGCGGGAGACTGCATGCATAAGGATGCATTGCATCGAATGCGGCTCAGGCTGCTCTGCTGGCTACGAGGGGGCTTTTCGCAGGCAATCGCAACTTCGCCTCATTGTAGGTCGGCGACCACCATCGATGCGAGCCTTCTCACTGCATTGCGCCGTCGATCACACTCAAGGGAAGTTCCCTTCGGGCCGCTGCTCATATCAAAGTTCTTGGAGTCGACAGCTTCGTCGATCTTCTCAACCACACCTCCCCTTGAGCCAAGCACAACAACAGCGACGCCAACGGTAAGCAGCGCGACAGCGCTCGCTCTGTAGTGATTCATGCTTGCAGATCGCAGCGCCTCGTCGCCTCGTCGTCTTGACTCATGCAGGAAGCCTCTTCGTCGCTGGTCCCACAACCCAAGGCGGGGCTGGCAAGAATCCGAAAGCGAAGCAAACGCCCCTTGTTGCACACGATGCCTCGACGCGACGAACGAATCGAAGACTCCGATCTACATACGGCGCGCATGCCAGGCCCACAGGCGCATCATCCCGTCATCCAACATCGCGAAGCGGTCGAAGTTTGGCGGGAGCGGAAACACCCATCTGTGTCCAGACGGCCCGTCTACGGCATCCACACGCATGAACTGTATATTCGCACATCGGCCCGTCTGTAGATTCATATCCCGACCCACTTGATACGATATACGAGAAGAAGCAAGAAGACAGTCTTTGCGACGCTGCATGCGAATGCGAAGGCGTGGCATATCTTGTAAGAGGGCACACTATCAAGCATGCGCGCATCGGACCGCAGAGTACCGCCGACGGTGGAGACAAGCTACCATTGATGTGTATGCAAGACTTGACAAATTTTGGGGTGCCTCGCTTTCGCCTTGGATTGGAAAATCCTGGTCTCCAAAACGGCATCATACGCTGCGGTACATACGGAACCGGCTCAGGGCTGACCTGGCTTTGCTGATGCTGTCGCGCTGCAACAAGGACCACATAAACATTTGTAGGTTACTCTTGGCATCCTGCGCGACGACGACGATGGAGCTGTTCATTTGCAGCGTTGGCGCGCGACACACGACCATTCGCGTGTAGACCTGTAGCTGGACTCAAGATCCACAAGGAAGTCTCCCTGGGATGATCTTACGGTTGTGCATCAGCAATCGAAGCATGATGGCAGGCCTTGCGACAGCGAGCAAACGAAGGTGACCAGAAAGAGCAAGGAGTTGGGGTGGTCGCCATTCGTATTCTGACTGTGTGGAACTGCACCTGTCAACGTAGGCCTCGTCGACGTCGCTGCGAAAGAAACCGAGTTCCAGCAAAGCTGTGGGTGATCTGCTTTGGTTCAGAGTGGCTACGGTGATCTCCGGCCATTCGAACAGCAGCGTTCCCAGCTTCAGCGTCGGGTTCAACGCGTGATATGCTCGCTGTCGTTTTGGTGTTGCACAATTTGTCGACGACGATGAAAGGTATGTTTGATGAGTCCTTGGAGCTCCAAGGTCGGCAAACATCGTCAGCGATACATCCACCACAGGTATGGACTCCAGAATCAATGCACCTGCTGGCATTGGCATGCTCAGGGCATGCTGCTCACCGACAGTCTCTTGCGATGTCATCAAACTCAGTCCGGCATACTCACGCCTCCAAGCTGTCAGCTCGTCGTCGGACGACGACCAGACCCCATCCCATACAGCACAGGGTCATCAGCAGGCGCCTCATTTGGCACTCTGAGCGCTCGGACTACTACTTATTGGAAGTGGTCGACCAGCAAGCTCGACGACAACGGATGCCTGTGCCCAAGGAGTCCTGGTCGCCTGTCTCAGCCGATTGTGACCTCATCTCTCTTTGCGTTTGTCAAGCAGGGCGAAGATACAGGCACACTAGCCATCGTCATGAGTCTCGACCAGCCGGCTTTGTTCGGACCCTATGGGCGTTGGTGCTGGCGCTGGCGCAGATGCAAGCCATGTCTCGTCTTCGACCTTGTCTACGGCTAAGGCATCCGAGCTAGGCTGAGGTTTCAAGCTGCCGCGGCCTCAGAGCTGTTGAGTACACAGGAAGCGGACTTGTGCGCAGTCCCCTGACCCTGGGAACGCCACGTCTGCGGCCTATAATAGCTTCAAGTCTACTCGACCCTGAAGTAGAAGCCGAAGCCATCCGGCTAGGAGTTGTCTCCGAAGAAGAAGGATCAAGACGTCCGCCACAAACTCGCTACCATGCGCGACATACGCCATTCCATTGTTTCGGTCCAGAGGCGTCTGCGGCTAAGATGGCGCTCGGTAGTGTACCTGTCTTGACTCAGGGGCTGGCTCGGTACGAGCTAGTCGGCGCCAGCTTCGTCAGCCTGAACTTCAGACGACGCGGTCGAAGGATCAGGATGTCTCCCTTGCTGCACTCGTCGCGACCTCCCTCCCGTGCTCTTCCGAATTATCGCTCAAGTCTTATCGCCGTTAGGGTGCCTCGTACGACTGGCCTTGGCCGTGGATGAAGACGTGTCCGTCCTGGGAGATGTCGCCGCGGAGACCTTTGCGCTCGTCGCCATGGTCAACGGAGAAGCTGAGCCGGCCAACTCCATGATGTCCTGTGTAGCTGTACCATTGTCGTCGGTCCTGCCCTATCTTGCAAACCGCGAGAAGAGGCTGCGGCCCGAAGAGCTTGCGTCGTCGTCGGTCGCGCTTTGCTGGTAGAAGAATCGGCCGTACTGCCTGCGTACACGATTGCTCGCTATGTCAGCATGGCCAACACATCAAAGGAGAAGGTGCTGTACCTGTCCATGTATGCATCTCTCGCAATGCCCGCTCCGCCGCCGCCAGGTCGTGTCGCCGCGTCAAAGAGGTCCAGGAAAGCGAGTTGCCCCGCCCGCCGCCGCCGGTCTTCATACAGACAATGCCGCGGGGCTCATCGCACGCGCGTGAGCCAAAGAGAAGACTGCCGTCGCCTCTTGATCGCCGTATAGTGTCCTTGGTCGTGGCGGTGGT